CAACGCCGTACGTTGCCTGCTTATACGCAGGGCTAGGACTAGAGAGTAATCGGAAACGTAAGTCGTTCACTAATTTAGAATATCTAGCTCAAGTCGGGCGAGCTCGGACACAGCTCGCAGCGGTTGGAAATATACGTATATTTATTTGCTGTAATTTTGTTCTTTAAATTAATTTTTAAATATAATATTAGAACAATTTTTCCCTGCAAAGGTATTCCAGAAAACAAATATTAGGAAACGAAGTAATAAACCGTTTTATAATAATTTGTAAATCGCGTTAAAAAATAAATATCTGATATGTTGAATGTTCTTTGACAATTATATTTATTAAGGTTATTTTGAAGCGTTACTGTTACTAAATTAAGAGCGATTGCTGAAAAATTTTCAATATTTCAATAGATTCGAGTTTATAAATATGGAAGTGATATGAATTATTTTTAGGACTTTTAAATTCGATACCTACATATTTATTTATTTTTTCAAATAATAAACTGTTAGATTAAAAAAAATAGCTTCTATTTAATATATTTTTTTAATTTCAATCAGATTTTTAATAAATTATCATTTGAATATATCTACATAATTACCTAAAATAACTCTACTCTCCGGGCAAGCCCTTCGACTTCACTCGTATAATCTTCGGGTACTTACGTGTAATCTGCGGTTTGATGTTAGTTTTATTTCATAGATTGGGAAGGTAGAGATTTGTTATTCCTTGTACTTCACGACTTGGTTGTTTGTTAAGTTCTAGGTTAGGGTTAGTATAGTGGTTTAGGTGTTTTTATTGTTTAATAGTTTGGAGTAAAGTAAAATGGCAAGCCGAAAATAGCGAATTGGTGAGTAGCAATGGTTATATTATTAATTTTTTATTAAATAAAAAATTTTGTATGTTAAGTTTCGATGATAAATTATTTATTTCAAAATTAAAACCTACGCCTGACATGAAAAATTTAATAAATAAAACCAATTGCGGAAGTAATAGATCATTTAGTAAAAATTGGTACAATAAATATGAGTGGTTAACAGGTAGTGAAACCAGAAACAAATTATATTGTTGGAATTGCTTACAGTTTAATGAAAACAGTAAAACTCCATGGAATTATCTACGATATTCAGATCTGAAACATATAAATGAATCTCTAAAAAAACACGAACGATCGGAGGAGCATACATATTCAACATTAAAATTTAAATTATTAGGAAAACAAAACATTCAAACTTTTCTTTATTCTGCATTTCGTGAGAATATTTTAAACCGTAATAAAGTCGTGGACGAAAATACTGACATTGTAAAGCGCCTATTTTAGTATAATTTATCGTTAGTAATTTGTTTAAAGAATTATATAATTTTTTATATGCCCTTCTATGCCTTAATCCTTGCCTTATCCCCTATCCCGGCAAGAAATCACTGTGATGACATTCTCGTTTGTTCTTGCTGAACTATTAGGTATACTTTTGGAATAACTAATATAATTTTCAGGTATATTTATATTAACTATCTTCATAATTCTTAAGTTTTTTACACTTTCAAAAGTAAATAGACTAACGTTGATTGCAATTATTATATATTAAGTTACATGAGAGAAAAAATATTTTGCCCACCCATCTCAAAAAGTCACGAGCCGCCACTGAGTTTCACCAAGATATCAAGAAAATGGAGCGTCGGTACCAAGAAAAGTGGGATGTTAATGTGATGGCAGATTTATGTTGGATGCTTAACACTTGAGCGGGTGCGCCCTATATTGTTTCGTTCAAATATGCTACCAATAGTAAATTATAATTTTAGAACAGCTTTAATATTTTTTAACAGTGACTTATAAGTAAATAGTATAAATAAAGTCTTAGGAAATTTTACATGTTTATTAAACGTATATTTTACATAAAAAGCAAGTACTGTAAAAATAAAAAGTTAGTTCTCTTTCAACCAAATTGATTTTACATCTATGATAATCGTAGTTTCATTGGTGTATTCACATATAAAATTGTCACACAATAGTGAGTGAATTTATTTTTCTGTCTTCCACATATAGTGCAACGTCTCCGCTTTTTTCTTAGTACATCACGTTTTTGTGTCTCTTCTATAGGTTTGTAACGCATTAAAATAATTTAATATCTAGAAATTCTAAATCTTTCCTCTAAGTGAGGTTTCATAAGTTGAAACGATATTTTTTTAAGAAAAATAAAATCTGGGTATTTATTGCTGCAACATTAAGCAGAGCATAAAATAATGCCAAAGGCCACCTTGTGGTGTTCCGCGAAACAGAATATCCACCACATAATTGGTCGACTGTATCGACTCCATCTTTGGTCATATTGTAGTCAAGAATTATCTCGGACTTTCCAGTTATGTCGTTCCATCATAGTGCGTAGTAGAAAGTAATACTACAGTCTTTGACTTTCGGAACGTGAAACACCTCACACACTTCTCCATTTAGTTTCAGAGTAACTTCTGAAGAAGAGAGCGATATGTCTCTCGAAACGTCAGGAGTTGTAAATCGACGACGTGGCAACCAGCCCGGAAATCATTCAACCACAGACGTCTCTGAATGCACGATATTTGTGGGGCAAAAATTCAAGAGGTATTTCTGATTTATTTTTTCACATAGTACCAATCATTGTTTTTTTTTGTTTCAAAAGTGAACATGCCAAAGAATAGCTGGTGTACCAACTGTACCTTTATACGCGCAATTAGTCTTTCCACTATATCAGAAGGAGAGTTATTCATTTTCTCAAACATAGTTTTTTTTTAGTTTCTTCTAATGTATTCTGTTGAAAAAGTATTAGAGACAAATTGCTATTATACGAAGCCCCCAAAAAAATGTTTCCCAATTTTGATTACTAACATACCAAAGGATAGCTGGTGTACCAACTGTACCTTTATACGCGCAATTAGTCTTTCCACTATATCAGAAAGAGAGGAGAAGGAGTTTGCCACAGTAATCTTCAAAAGCACTGGTGGTTAAACCGTATTTGGCTGGTTTATTCGGAATATACTGGATAATGCTGCATCTTCCTCTAAAAGTTTCCAGTTTTTCATCTATGGTTATGAACTGACTGTGTGAAATCGTTTGTAGCTCATGCAGGTCTTCAAAATGCGCAAACCAGTCCAGAGTTCTTTTACGTTAGTTCGACTTCCTTTTTAGTGAAATTAGAAACAATAATCCTAACGAAGCCATAATTTCTGACTTATTTGTAACTTTACTGTCTCTTTCTCTGCTATAATTAACCTCACTTTGCTTTTTTTTTTCAATATAAGATTTGTATAATGCACAATATCGTTTATAATGCTATCATCAATTAATTTGAAAAAAGTCTAATTCTTGGTAGAAACGTTTTTTGCAGATCTTTTCGGTACAGGAAATATTTGTGTAATATTATTTGTTTATCTTTTCTTGGAAGTTTGAGAATGATAACTCGTCTTTATCCACTTGGTTCTTTTGTTTCTAACCGTATAAAAGTTATTATCAATCTCGTTATGATTATTTTCGTATCGAAAACTGAGTCACTAGCAAAAGTAGCCATATCTTCCTCATTGTCTTCTAATTCTCTGAATCTGAATTATGATATTCTTTGGTTACAATCTCTTCGTCTTCTTTACTCCATTCTCCGTCATCCACGTCATTGTCTACGTCTATATCAGACATATCTTCTAAAATTTGTCAAAGCTCTTCGTTCGTAAGCCCCTTTGCCATAAAATGGAGTAAATAGAGTAAAATACAAGTTTTTGGAAGGCTATAATACAGAAACTGTCAAACGACATTTTTTTAGCGATATAAAATTAGTAGTTAACAAAAAAATATTATAATAAAGACAAAAAACAAAAAGAAATCTACTTACATAATTGGTCCAAGTAAATTTAGGCAACCGTAGACAAACACGTTAACGAAATTTAAATGAAACAAACCGAACTAACACTTTGTGGAACTAACACTTTGTGGTCAATATCTGAGAAGATACAGAGAGGCATAAAACAAATAACATACTTCGTCACGCGCCACCCCTCCTAAAGTAATATTGGTAGCACTATTATACCAGTGGCCCGTTCGGGGGTTAAAAACGAGCCAAAAACAGAGAAAAGAAAAAGAAATAATTCGTTGCATAGATCGTTTGAAGATAACAGAGTTCATTACAAAAGGAGAAAGGAGAATTGAATGGCTGTTCTATCTATTTCTGTAAAGGAACTTCCCAGACTTTAGAGTTATTTTGCATGTATAAAAATACGGGAAGGTAATAGAGTTATTCAGACTTCGGATTCAGCTTCCGCAAGTCAACATACATATAGATATGGTCCTGCAGTAACTTCCATTCTCTTTTTACAATTGTTCCAAATGTTATAACCCCCTAGAGCAGGATTTTCGGTATTTAAGTCGGTTTCGACGACTTAATAAAAATAGGAGGTGATATAGCAATTCTGACTTGGACTCGGATTCAGCGTGTCAAAATACATACATAGTTTTAGTCTTTGGAACATACAACTTTTCTTTTTTGTGTGACTGTGATCAACTAAGGATTTGCAGATAATGTTTTTAACTCTGGATGGAAATATGTTCTTTTTGGCCATATTTTCTGTTCATAGTGATTCTTTCTGTCTCTAGAATCCCATAGACATAACAAACTGGGATGAAAGATGAAGTTGGACTCTAAAATAGAATTTTCAAGATTTTCTGTATTTAAGGGTTCTTCGCGATTTAAAAACTGGTGGGTCATGGAGCAATTCTAGTATTGGACTCGGATTCAGCGCATCAAAATACATAAAGATATACAGGTCTAGTATCTGGAACATAACATTTTTCTTTTTTTTTGTTATAATTCTTTCTCCGTTTATAAGCCTTAAGCTACAATAATATTATTTTATTATTTTGAAAAGTGGGTGAGATATGACGAATAATCCTAAGTGGTTACTGGATATTGCGAGTGTAATTCAATGCTGATTAAAGTTGTAGTCCGCAGAGTAATTGTGTCCACAATCTCATTCTACATAAACATTAACATGATAATAATTTTCAGCCAAAGATGTAGAAATAGTCTGCTATTGGGGCAGTTGGTCTATCTATAGGGACGACATTGGTTTGTTCAACACGGAAAACATCGACCCCAACCTCTGCACTAATCTGATTTACACCTTCGTTGGACTGGGTTTGGACTCGAATATTGAGAGTTTGGATAGCTGGGCGGATATCGATAAAAGTATTCACATATTTTTTATGAAATATGCAGAAGAAATAATTTGGTATTAAAATTTTTAGAGGGTTTCTCGAACTTCACCGCTTTAAAGGAACAGAACTCTTGCCTGAAAACTACCCTAGCCATAGGTGGGTGGAATGAAGGGTCAATAAAATACTCTGTGGTAAGTTATTCATTTTCTCAAACATAGTTTTTTCTAGTTTCTTCTAATTTAATCTGTTGAAAAAATATTAGGGGCAAATTGCTATTATACGAAGCCCCCAATTTTGCTTACTAGTGTCTACATTTAGCTGCACTATATGATCTTTTAGATGGCATCGACTGAAGAAAGTCGAAAGTCGTTTGCTAATAGCGTGCTCAGGTTTCTGGTTTACTACGGCTTCGATGGACTAGATATGGACTGGGAATATCCAACAGCAAGAGGGGGAATAGCAGCAGATGCTGAAAATTATGTTGCTCTTTTGAAAGTGATTAAGGAAGCGATCTCACCTTGGGGCTTGACACTGACTACAGCTGTTCCAATTGATGACGCTTTGCTTGGTACTGCGTACGATGCGTCAGCAATGGCAGAGTAAGGCGTAGTTTATTTATTTATTTATTTTTCTTTTTAAAAACTTTATATGGATTTATTCAACAACATTTTTAGGGTCAGAAGGGTGTATATAATTATAAAATAAGTAAAATAATCCAAAATCTGTTCAAATCATAGCAGTAAGTATTTTTATTTATTTTTCACTATGTACATTTTGTAATTCAGCAAAGGCAATTATTTTAATATTAGTTTTCCTTTTACAATTAGTAAGACATATTTAATACATCATGCAAAAATATAAATTTTTTAAAACTAAAGATATCTAATTGTGTTCCTTTTTTAAACATATTAACTGTAAAAGTTGATAGAGAACTTGATTTCGAATAAAAAAAGTGCGAACAGAAGACGTGAATCGCTTTCTAATCGAGATAGAGCGTCGATTTAATTTATTTTAGCTTCTCTTTTGTGATAAGTAGCAACGAAACTAAAATGACCTACAAATCAATTTACTACAAGCGTCAGTGGTCACCCGACATTAATTTCCTCCATTGTTTTATCTGGGGTCATATGAAGCAGCATGAAATCCCCAGTAAATACAGGGGAACTAACACAACGCATTCAAACTGTTGGTGCATGCATTACGCCATTGGATTTAACAAATTCAAGAAGGTTACATAGATGCCAGTTACCTGTCTACTCGTAATTTAAACATCTGGTTTAATTTCTGCTTACTACTACATTTTTCTGTAGTTACTGTTTATTTTTAAATTCCTGATTTCAAATAAATAACACCATAATAAATTACATATTTACAGAAATAATGATAAATATAATTTCAGTTCAACTAAAATTTTTTGTCATCTTTGTGTTTAATAAAATGTTATTTGAACAGTTCCTTTTAAATTTACTAACATTTCCTGGTATTTATCAAGAAAATTTTCCTCGTATGTCTTGAATTATACAGCTTTTGGCAAAGCATAAGAAAATACAAAAATTTGTATGAGCTTATATTTATTTACGCAAATAACAGTTTCTATCTCAGTGGTTGTTCACTTGATCAGCAGAACCCTGTAAATACGCAATAAGATCTTATTTTCATCCGTGTCTTTTTTTCCAGAATCGTTGATTACGTTCACCTCATGGCTTACGATTATGTGCCATCCACTTCAAAAGTAACAGGATTATCGGCACCATTGTCTGCCATCGTAAGTAGAATGCAAATATAAATTCTAACGCCGCCCCCATTTTTAATTCTGACCAAAAAAGAGATAAACGTTGAATAATTCAAGAATCATGTTTGCAAAGTCAGTCTCGATTATGCTCCGCTGCGTTAATTCATGGAAATCTTATCTGAGGATTAGTGGTGAGAGCAACTCCAGTACTTGTTTTCCGAAAATCTTAATTGCAGATTGTTACTGTTCTGATTATTATTTTTCATAACAAGTGGATTTTTCCGCTTAGATAGCCTGTAAAGCAACAATATTGGACTTATTTACAATATATATGAGTAATCCAATCCGTAATCGCTACTAACATCAATCGCAATCAGATTATGTGGTAGTTTATACAAATGAACTATAAAAATTTAAAAGTAAAAAGTAAAAAGTTTCAAGTATTTACTAGAAATACTTTTTAATTTTCCTGTAAAGACCTCAAATTGTATGCATAACTTACAGTACATAATATTTCCTTAAATCCGTAACAACGCACTTGTTATATTTTGAGAGAGTTGGTCTCCTGCCTTAAAATATTAACATAAAATGGTTTATAAGAACGAACGAAAAGTTCGATCCTGTAAATTACTGACAAGTTTTGTTTGCATAATATGTTCCAATTACCAACTTCTTGATATTATAAATATATTCAAACTTTTCTAAGGCTTTTAACCAAATTTAAACGCCTATCGAAGTAAATTTTTTTGTAGGATTCGTGATTTATTGCTGAAATTTGTAAGGATCTGTATTAGAACTAATTATTTCCTTTATATATTTATGTAGTTGACGACCATAAAATAATAAACTTCCAATACATGTAAAATGTGGAGAACACTAGAGAACTTGTTGGCTAAAGACATTTAAAAAAAAATTCCACTTAACGCAATATTTTTCATGAATAAGATAGCTATATATTCAAATATATTTTTCTCCAACCGTCACAAAACTATGACATTTTTTGAATGTCAGAAGTCTGTAACGCAGAGATTTTCCTTACTGAGAAAAAAAAATGGTATCTTAGCAACAAACATGTATTCACTTTTAATCCTAGGACCTAAAGTCGACAATTTTAATCATTAGATTAAAAGTGTTAATCAAGTTCTCATTTATAAAAGTTTATTCAACAATATTTACAATAATTTTTATTTATCCACATTGATACACAGTTTGAACAAGTACCTATTAAAATTAAATAAAACACTTAAACTTCCACTACTTCTTGGAACAATTCTCAAAGCAGTCCAACACGTTTTCATTAATGGTTATATTATTTTCCGATGTTGTGAAATCAGAAATGACAACGTTGATTTATCATTACCACTATCAACTTTCAATATTCTTTTCGCGATATTTTCTTTATTCAAAAATGAGTATTCAATGTAGCCTTCCGCCACAGAGCTCGATATCATCCTCCGTGTCTTTTAAGACAAGTGAGGTCACACGCCGTCAACCAAAAGGGTAGCAGACGTTCTTCGTAATGCGTGTTAGAGATGGGCAATACGGATCTTTTTAATGATCCGCATGATGCCAAATGTATCAACATAAAGATCTGCATCAAAAGATCCACATCAGGGAATCGTATTCAGTGCGAATGTACAAGTACAGTTTGTATAGATGTCTGTACTTGTCGCTCATTCATTTCCGTTTCATATATTGTGTCTCGTATCACACTTTCTGTCCCGTATATTTTCTAATTAAATTCCAATATAAGAAAGAAATATCGCATTACTTGTTTCAGATTCTCTTTTTACAAAGTACAGCAGCAGTCAAAGCACAAATTGCTTTTATGTTTTATTTATTAATGATACCAGTGCAAGATTTGCAAATTTTTTGCAATCATCTATAAATTCATTTTTTAGCAGAACCATGAACTTCAGCAGAAACGAAGCAATAATATATTTGAACTCAAGTTGAGAAAGCATAAAATTATTTTCAAGTAAAATTAATTAATGTTTAAATTTATTTTCGGTGAAAGGATTCAACATTTAAATACGAAATACACATCACTCTGACAATTACTTTTTACATTATAAGTTTGTTTCAGACTCCACAATTTCATATAAATCATTTTAATATTTAGTTCCCTATGCACTAAACTGTTTCTAATGCATGGTATCTCATCGACCTGTATCCGACACGAGAATCATTTGAGACCGATTCATTCCCAAATCGCATTGATGCGATGATGCGAACATACGAAATTATTCTTATACCGTATACGTATGAACTGACTCCCAGTATGCGTGCGCCTCCCACTTATTCATTCCTGTATTGGATACGAGAATCAGTTGATACCGATTCACTTCACTTCAGTCTCAACTCACATTAATGCGGTGATGCGAAACATACGAAATTATTTTTGCATCGGGATCCGCATGAATCGATTCCCACTAGAGATCCGTGCGATTTATAGTATGATGCGGATTTTGCCCACCACTAATGCGTGTTCTTTTCAGATGTCCAGCTTCAAAAATTTTTCCACTTCTTGCGAGACGGTACTGATTTTATGAATACCGACCACCATTCGATGACACTTTCCACTAATGTATCTGAGAAATAGTCGACGTTCTACCAATCCGTGTGGACGTAAATTGTCTGCCAGTACACTAAAAGAACTCGGTGTCTTGGTTTTGGTACAAGGAATTTTTATAACATTATCAATTATTGTTAAATTGATTAATTCATCAGAACGGCATGCGCCTGCAACCCCAAATATTATGACGACCTATAGAGAAGTTTTTTAACAATTTAGTTTTTTTATTTTTAAAGCGTTTACCTTCATCATCAAATATAAATTATCAGGTGCACTAGTCGAAAAGCAATCAACTTGCTCCTTTGTAAATACTCACGATTTTTTCGGTACATATCCCTCATTTTGTCTCTTGAGAAAAGCATGTAATTTTGAATATTTGCTTATATATACGTTTGCTAAGTTTAAGAAATACACCATCAATACAACATAATGTTTTTTCTTTGCACCAATCTATAAAACGTTGGCAGACACGTTCATAAATTTCTCGAGATTTCTTTGGGAGATTTAAAAAAACTTCCTTCGCACACTTCAGTATCTCCTCAGCTACAGCTAAGATTTAGGTGTCTAAATCTTCATTAGTTTCCATTTTTACAGAGTTTTTGCCAAATGGACTTAACAATATGGCGACTAATGTTTGACAAAGTATCCATGACTATATCGATATGTCCTACTTACCTACTTTGTTTTATTATCCAAATTTGGTTTGAATAATTTCAAAGCACAAATTAATAATTAAAAAATAGCATGTGTTGCAAATAATAGGCATATAGTCTATTAAACTTTATTTAGTGATTATTCGCGTACTAGCTAATGCAAAATGTCTCCATATTAAATATATGTGTTGTACAGTATATTTAAAGATCTATGGATGTGTAGTCTTTATGGGGACACGTCTGTATCCTTAGCGGTTACGATTCTAACTAACTATTCTTAGTTCCACACAGGACAACAAGCACTAAGGTAACTGACCGCACTAATCCGTAGGTACATGGTTATTGATTCCTGGAATATTGCTGTAGGTTTAATCGAAGCATCCCAACAGCATGTTTTATTCGGATTAAAAGTATCTCTTTTGTCTCACCAAAATTGCATCCGCTCGGCTACCTTACGCTTCGCCTCACAAATACAAAATTTGCTCGCCACAAAAGTAACACTTTTAATCCTAATATAACAATATAGTATTCTACTAATGTAAACTGAGTGTATACTAATAAAATCAACTTTTGATATATTCAAAATTGTGTTGAAAGAGAAATTTATACTTTCATTTAGTACTTTTAATTATTAACTATATAGGCCATTACCTATTACTGATGATGATGCTGGTGGTCATGATATAGCCATGATATGGTACTACTTGTATTTCATTAGTAACACTTATCTTTTGCAGAAAAACACTGTTTCTAACTGGATAAATGCTGGGCTACCTGCAAAAAAAATGATTTTGGGAATACCATCTTATGGGCGAAATTACGTTTTAGAAAATGAAAATAAGCATGACATCGGAGACCCAGTTCTTAATGCTGGATTACCTGGAGATTACACTTCGGAGGATGGATTTTTAGCTTACTACGAGGTAATGTAATGAAATAATAGAACCTTCCGTCTATTAAGCTATCGTAAAGTATTAGCTAAGCTAACTAGCTCTAATCGAAAACCATTTTGATTTTTAGGTAATGCAAATCGTAAACGATCAATTCCTTTTTATGGAAAGTGTCGAAATAGACGGCACAAATTATGCTTATGGTAGCGGAGAGTGGATAACATATGAAACTGAGGCTACTGTACGAACAAAAGTAAGTCGTCAAACAGAATAAGGACACCTTCCCACGACGCGAAGTTCAGCGAGTATAGTCGGTTGTAAATCAGTTTGTCACGATGCTTGAAAATTCTTGTTAGCTATGAGGGAGCAAACCTTGATTTTTAAGCGAGTATACTTGCCAAATCTCGCGTGATGGAGATGCCTTAATATCAAAAGCGATCTTTATTATACAGGGTGTCACCTAACGAATGTTACATAGGTATTTCAAGGTTATAATCAGGAACCCAAATGGTGTCGATTTAACCAAATTTGCTTAAACGAAAAATGCTGCAAAAAAGCTACAGTGTTAAAGTTTCTTTTCCGATTTGAACAAAATTTGCAATTGCTTAGTTTCTTTTCATGAAGTATGTAGTGATTATGTTCCTATTAGGTTAAATCATACAGGGCGTTCATTTATCTCAACCTTTTGTGAATATTTTTCTGCAACATTTTTGTGTGTTTAAATTTTTACACGCAACTATCAGAAATAGGTAGAGAATTATATTCTACACAAAAATTGTATACCTATTAAAAGACATGATGCTCGATTACGAAGATATTACAGAAAATATTTATTAACACATACACCATATTTTTTGGAAATAACTACATATCCATAATAAACATAATCAATAACATAATAATGACAGTAATAAAAAGTCTACTAATTTATAATAAATGTTCTACGTGTTCTCCATTCTCGACACATTTCCTTAAACGTTTTATGAAACTATTGAGAATAGGAAACGAATTATACAGAGAGATCCAGAATGATTGATGGCGCCACTACTTACAAATATTTTGTGTGCCCCTCTCCAATTATTTTCGCTCTTCGTTGTTGGCAACATTGACAGTGATTTACTTCGTTAACTGGTGGGTTAAACGCAGTGGCAATAGGGTCACATATTCATTTCAATCACAAAAAGCAGAAACATTAATTTGAGGGGTTTATTAATTTGTTAAAGCAAAGGATTAAATAGAAATGATTTAGATATTGTTATTATTAACCTCAAAACTAATACAAGAATAGATTTATCTATCTTCTTTTTTTATGCCAACTTCAAAGTAAAAGCAATAATTTTTAAATGAATTTACGTTTACTTTCCTCATTTAGAAATGTGAATAAAAAATCGATTTAAAATTTCTTAAATTCTAACAAAAAGAATATGTTGTTACCTATTTAAAATAATAGTAGCTTTATTGGTTTAAAGTTAAAAAAGTGAATATGTATTTTTAATTTTGACCAAAATTCTGTTCCTATCAGTAACAATTATTTTTGTAATTAATTTGTTATAATTTTTAACTTATAATGACGGTTCAAAATGTCTGCCTTCGTTCTGTATACATACATAGATTTACTCGTCTTCTTAAACTGTTAAATACATTACGTAGTTCATTTTATGTAATATTAGCTAATTTATTTGTTATGACATCCTTTACACTCTCTAACATCCTCCGGTTTATCAAAGGTTAAAACCCATTTTCTTCCAGGTGACTTCCCTTTGCAAACAATGCAAGTATTTCCGAATCGTGTCACCAAACTCGGAACAGAGCTGCTGAACAGAAATAATATGCGGATTCATGATTTGGAAATTCTTCCTGGAATTGTAAAAATCATGTATGGATTGAATAATTGCATCCATTTTCATCTCGTTGACCACTTCAAAAGTAGGCCTCTACAATAAATGTATCGTCTTCTAACGAAAAGACCATTTTCTAACCTAAAACAGTTCAAGTACTTTATATCCAAGAAACCATCAGTGTTTGCTCCTTTATCACAAATCTAACAGTTAACATATGATTAGCGATGAAAAACACTGACTAATTACAAGATTAACGATAAATTGAAATAAAAACACAATCGGCGAACACAAATAAAAGCACGGACGTCTGATTTGACAGATCGTGAAGGCTGAAAATCTAAGAACACGGAAAGTCGGAAAATTTACTTCCATTTGATCACAATTACTATTTTGATAAAATGGAAGTAAATTTTAATATCTTTGGTAACATTTAGGTGTAACGTCAGCTTCAATCATTCTGGATCGCTCAGTCAGTGATTAGCTCGACCAATCCAACGGTTTGGAAATGTTTGATTTAAAGGTTCTTTTACCAAAGGGCTGTAATGAACAAGGGCACCATCGTGCATGAACCACATTTGACGTCTAGTATAAATGGATACTTCTTCGAGAGCCCCAGCAATTTTTTGTCAACCTTCAAGCTTGCAGATAGAGCGATAGGCCCCAAAATTACATTTCCTATAATCACGCACCAGATGTTAACTGAACATTTTTGTTGGAAGTGATGCTCTTTTATTGCGTGTAGATTTTCTTCGCTTCACACATCAGATTTTTTCCAATTAAAAATATCTCTACGGGTAAAGGCAATTCTCCCGAGAAAAATGTGATCTCTATTATGTAACTGGAGAAATCGTTCGCAAAATGTTAATATCAGCGGGCGGTCTGGTTCAAGCAAACTTTATACTGGGTGAAAATGGAAACATTGTAACTGCTGCGTGTGGAGTATAGTTGAAACGGTCTTGCGGCCAATTTCTGTACTGCTGACAAACGACGAATACTAATTTTGGGATTTTCTTCTACTCTTTTTAAAATTTATTCTTCGTCTTGTACCCTTTGAATGTACCTTCCATTTCGTGAATTAGACCAAAAGTTTCCAATGTTACAGAAGAATATTCTCAAAAAGTTATTCATGAAGATAAACTAAGCAACAACAAATTTTGCTCAAATCGGTTAACTGGGTTCTGAGTTAAGGAGAAAACAAGAAATAAAAAAGAAACTGTAACACCCTGTAACGTTTTTTTGCCACATTTTTTATTTAATCAAGTTTAGTTAAATCGGCACCATTTGGGTTTTAGAAGTTTTGAAGTATATAACATTAGTTAGGTGACATACTTTATTTTTATTACATATTAATAAAAATATGTACGGTTCCTATCTGAACATTGTTACTAACTATCCGAAGTGCGAGAGTAGATAAGAACGCATGTACTTTACATTTGGTGTTGTGAAATTTTAGGCGCAGTACGCTATTGATGAGGGTCTAGGAGGCATTATGATGTGGTCAGTGGACACAGATGATTTTCAAGGACTTTATGGAAAGAAATTTCCTTTGCTCAGTGCGATCAATGACGTTATAAAAAAAACATAAATTCAAATAAAATATGTAATGTAAAAATTATTTTTTAACCAATTAAAAATTGTAGAAAGTATTTACATACAAATTTTTTATTTATAACTTACTACCAGTGGCGGCTCGTAGGTTTGAATACAGGGAGGGCGCATTTTGAAAAGAGGACGTACATGATAAGAGCTGGGGGGGTAGTGGGGGGGGGCGGTAGCCCCCCGCTTAGCGCCGCAGGCGAAAATTTGTAAGGAATTTGAAGGTCATTGTGTTTTGCAAGTACCCCAAAATGAATACTGTCAGTGTGTACAGTAGGTACTTACATACAATGCGAGAAGTAAAATTCCAACATGTGGGGGCTGAAGTGGATAATTGATCAACCAACCCAGTTAGGATATAATTATGTAGATTACTGTATTAGTTCATTCTGTATAGTTTTTGAAGTTCCGTTAAAAACATAGGCATCACTAAGATATTTATCTAAAACGGGATCAATTTTTGCACTATAGTCTATCAGTTCTAAAAATACCCCTTTGTTTATCGAGTCACTTTTTTTATTATGTCCACGAAGAGGAAGGTTACATGTACCACATAATTTTAAGATATCTATAATTTTTTAAAGAAGCAATCGATTTTTTTTAACTGTTTCGTTATGACTGTTTATTTGTTCCGCATAAGCACTACTTAAACAAGAAGCAATATTTACTCTTCCTAAAAGTAAAAAACTCACCAACTTATTTTTGTGTTTAGGAGAATTTTCATCTTAATCTTGTCTTGTTAATGTTTCAAGTCAGAAACTGCAGATTTCGTCCAGTTTTCTTCGCCTCCTCCAAACAATAAACATACAAAACAAGAAAATCTATTTGTTTCATCACAACCACACAACATAAATGTTTTTATCAAATTTGCGAATAAAAGCCGGCCTACTTTTGCACTCTTTCTGCACCTGAACTAAATTCAACACTGGCGTTGGACGTCCGTTATTTTTCAATTCGACTTTTTCCTCTAAACTTAAATTACTAATAACAAGTTTCACAACCCTCATTTTAAACTTAAACTTATAAAATATAATGTCTTAAAAAGCGCCAAAGCAAAAACAAAACACGTATAACCACACTTCAGTGATACGGGTTACTGCCTCATGGAGTCCAAAACAAAGTGGGCGAGACTATCGTCGCCTATCCCTTCCACGTGCCAATTTATCCAATCATATGTAAAAATATGTTTGCACGATGGACTCAAGATTTCACAGTCCGCAATGGAGTGGAGATTGCGCGCGCGGTCAAACATAACTCTTTGGTACGATCGTAGATGGCAGATGGCATTAATCTGAGTTACGTTCACGGAGTACATGCACTTTATGCAACCAACCTAACATCCAAGAGATATTGAATGCATGCTATTTAGATTTCTTATTGATTTAAATAAATACATTATTTTAAGTTTATAGTTTGAAAATATCTGGGGGGGGG